CCCCCCCCCGCCAACTCTTGGGCTACTCTTTTACCAACGAATAGTCGGATTGAACGCCACATTATAACGCCTCCACGGCTGAAAGGGCGAGGATGTTTGGTGTGACAGGGATTAGAACCCGCGACCCGCAGATTGCGAGTCGAGCGCCCTAACCACCTGGCCATGCCGGGTCTAGAAAACTTGAACCCCCTTTTTTTTACAACCGAAACAAACACCAATATGAATATAAACGTTGCGCCAACTTTTTCTTTATTTATCGTACCACTCAATTTGCATCACTCCTATTCTATACGGGTTTTATCATTACTTGACTCTTTTATATATAACATCTTTATAAGGTTGACCTCTTTATATTACTTGGCTGTTTTTTATAGATGTGAAATAGTTTGATCAAATAAATATACACAACAAGCATTTAACATATGAACGAATAACGCAGGATTTTCCATTATTCAGCTACGCAGACTTCGAAAATAATATTAATTTTTTCTAACTCTTACTTAGATCAAAGTGCAGGCACACACAAATACTATCCAGAAATAACACATCATGTAGCCTGTTAACCGTTTATATACTAGCGGTGTGTTTATCGTGGGTTTTAGAACGATCGATAAGACTCTCACGTCGCGATTGGTCTAGAGAAATCTACAGCCAGTGGTTGTCAATATTTTAAGCATAACAAAGTGTAACCTGATTTCAATGAAAATGATTTACTTATGTTAAAGTGCATATGACGTTTTGTAAAAAACTGGTATGCGATGGAGAAAAATGGATATCGTTTTCGGATTCAGAGTACAGGAATTACTATAGAACATGAAAACATTTCAAGACAATTAAACCAACACAGGTCTATATTGTTTATAAAACTGTTTTGTGGGTCTAATACACATATTTCGTTACCTCTTCATTTCATATGAAAAAGTAAATCGATAAATGTGAAATTGTCATTGATTCTAATTATCATTCATGATATTGTAGAGTAATACGATGAAATATGTCGTACATATTAAAAACCTTCTGTTTAAGTTTTTGGCTGGAATTATGTCTGGGCCTTCTTCGTTCTCGTCTTCTGCGTGTTTTTGCAGTGGCACGTCTAATCTGAAAAGATATAAAATAATCTAATGTTATCTAAAATAAATTATTAAATATTAACAATCGATAATGAGATAAACCACGCATGAGAGACGTTGAAGAGATTATGATAATTTAAGGTAAGGTGAATATTCTATGCTAGCTTTTCAATGCTACTATAAGGTGGACACAGCTATATTAAATTAGTTGTTTGCATGTTTCATGTTACTTATTGCTTTTTGATAAAAAACTAAAACGGTAAATAAAATAGTATTTCAATATTCAAGCCTTGTGGACATGAATAATTTTATTCATACATACTTTCAATTTTTATATTGCCCCTGGCATGTTTCGAAAAAGTAAAAAAAAACTTACATAAACCAATTACTATACCTCGCACAGGTACATCTTCTAAAAAGAACATCATATTGACAATATTTGAAGCACCAAGCCTTATGATTATAAATATAACTTAGAAGAAAAAAACGTATTACCCGAAACTTATTGGAGGTTTTAATTCTTTAAATAATGAGTGTTAATAAAAGAGTTTTTACTGGGTTGTTTTAAGACATTCACAAAAGAAGATGAATAAAGAAAGTAAATTACTCACTTATTTTTGGTGTTGCTCTCTTGTTGAGCTGACATAGAAATGAAAGATTTTTAGTTATGAATATCGTGTTTTTATGGAGTTTATTATCGTGATGATAAGATTATGTAAACATTTTCCCAAAACATGTATAATATTACATTGTTCTCATGATGGTTTTTGGAAGATATTCATACATAAAACATGTTACTTTTTTCATACATAGACAAAGTTTGTTTGTAACATCATTTATACATTTGGTTATATCATTAACTGCATACATTGTAAATATATATGATTAACCAATTTAGTATGACCACTGAGCGCAAATAATAGAGAAAAACAAAACATAAATGGTACCATAGTATGAACTTTGAACCCAAGTCAGCACTAACGGTGAACGTCAGTAAAACTCGAAACTTCCAGCCATGTTTTAGGCAACTTGCTGTAGTAAATAGTTGGTGAGATCAGATGACGGGGAAAGTGAGTAGCCTGAACATGTCAGGGCATGATCCTACTGAAGTGTCATTGTTATGGGTACATTATTACTCAGTTAACAATGTGTGCAGAACAAAAAGGCAAGCTTAATGGAACGAAAAAAAAACGAGTTTTAGAAGAAACTACACAGTGCAAATGGGATGGAAAGACGAATTGAAGCGTGAACTATATCGTGAAACAGATTTTAAACAAAGTAGGCGTAGACTACATAGAGAAATTAGTTAGATGACGAAATGTGGCACGAAATTAAAAACTACAAAGTGAATATTAGGCTAGAAACACCTGAGATTAACTACAAAGTGAGAGTTGGATTAGTGAGTGGAAAAAGTGCACATGGGTGGAACTATAGAATTAAAGTGAGGTCAGTACATGAAATAAGACAAGTTAAAATACATGGTGAAAGTGAGGTCAGGGAGCAGAAATGAAGCAAGATGAGGTTAACTGTAAGGTGATCGTGAACACAGAGGATGGAAGTAATTAAAACAAAACGAAGTATAGGGTGATCGTGAGGTCAGAGGGCGAAAGTAATTAAGAAAAACGAGGATCAGAAGGCGAAATGAAATAAAATGATACGAAGCATAAGATGATCGTGTGGTGAGAGGACGGAATGAAATAAAACGATGGAATTATGTGAAGTGAAGTAACACGAAGCAAAGGATCGGGTAAAAGTAAGGTCAGAGGGCAGAGTGAAATAAGACGAAGAAAGTAACGTATACAGAAAATTCAAAAATATATTCTCAAACATTTTAAAACAGTATATATTTCATCTGATAATATTTTAGTTGTCGTTATATCATATTGTAAAAGTAATACCTTTTAAATCGCTTCTCTTTTTTACTTTGATCACGATTACTAATATTACAATGAAGAATACCAAGGCTACGGTCGCTGAGATGAATACTGTTAGTACTGGGTTAAAAACATATACTCCTCCCCTGTTCCCTGAAAAAAAAAAACCGTAAAAAACATGTGAATAGTTTAATAGTTATTCGAATGATACGGAAAAAGTTGAAATACGTAGAATATTCGGTAACTCGTTAGAAAACTTCAGCCGTAGCTCAGAAGAACGTTCACTCTAGATTTTCTACCTATGACCTTATCTTGTTAGGACACTTCAGACGTAGTTTCGAAAAAACGTTTTAATTAGGTTCTCTAACTTTGATCTGCTTACCTTGTCAGGACACTTGAGCTGTAATTTAGAAGAAAGTCTTAATTACATTATCTAACCTTATTAGTTCTGTTCAAATTGTTACGGTATTCTACTACTAAGCTGGGGGTTACTGGTTCGAATCCTGTCATCGAATATACTCGCTATTTCAGCCGTCGATGCGTTATAATGTGATGATTAATACCTATATTCGTTGGGAGAAGAGTAGCCCAAGAGTTAGCGTTGGGTGGTGTTGACTAGTTGCCTTTTCTCTTATTTATCACTTCAAAATTAGGAATGGATAACACACATAGCCTTCAAGTAGCTTTGCGTGAAATTCAACAAACAAATTTGATTCGTCAGAACATTTCCACTGTAGTTTAGAAAAACGTTTATATTAGACTTAATAACTTTATTAGATCTGCTTGTTTGTTAGAGCACTTCAGCAATAGAATAGAAAACTTCACTAGTATAAAGGCTTGGTTTGGTCTGATATTTCATTGGTGGTAGTGTCCAGGGTCACTGATGAGGAGTGGAATTCTCCGAAACTAATCTGGCTCACAGATATTGTTTGTTTTGAATTTATGCACAAAGCTACACAATGGGCTATCTGTGCTCTGCCCTCCACGGGTATCGAAACCCGGTTTCTGGCGTTGTAAGTCCGCAGACATACCGCTGTGCCACTGGGGGGGGGGCGCTCACAGACATACACCTTAATGAAAGAATAGACCATTCCAAGCTTTTACTTGTTGTTAAACAAAGTTTAAACAACTCTACTTATTCAAGAATAGGAAAACGTTTATATTAGACTTCATAACTTTATTAGATCTGTTTGTTTGTTAGTACACTTCAACAATAGATTAGCAAAACGTTTATACTAGACTTAATAACTTTATTAGATGTACTTGTTTTATTAGAACACTTCAGCTGTAGCTTAGAAGAACGTTATTATTCTCCAGCATTATTAGGCCTTACTTGTTAGTTTTTCTGCTTGTCGAACAGTGCTCGTTGAAATTCTCACCACTGAACTTCGACCACAACGGTTTACTGCATAAACCAACAAGATAAAGAAGGTTCCAGGAGTGAGCCCGTTTACGAGAAAGATCGGTACATGAGATGAAACTTTAGCATAAAGAGTCCCGCTTTCTTTAGTATAAACCTCCATGATGAATGTTTGTTCCAGTCCACCGTTAAAACCTTCAAGACACTCCACTAGTATCAATTCTTCCGTGCGATTAAACACAGTGCAGTTTTGAACAGGCTCAGGGGCCTCTGTAATAGAAATTGGAAAGTTGGCTAAAGAATATGTATTTGTTGCAAATCACATCCAGGCTCTTCCTTTATATTAGGAAAAGTAGCTCTTAACCTAAATCACAATACTTGAAATAACATAAACTGATAGTAAACAATAAATTTGGAAGCAATACATAATAAAAATGTAAACAAATTCCTAATTTGACCCAACACATTATTGTGCTTTTAACTTATAAAAAAATAAAACACAAGATTAGCTGCTATCAATACCTTGCTTATTTATCTTAAATATAAAAACAAATAAAATTTATGGACTACAGTGTTCTAGATAATGTAAAAATCTATCTCTTATGAAGCTGCAGCAGACAAACAGGAAAGTTATGGTTTTATATGAATATCTGTAACTAAAGAACTTCGGTTTACGAAAACGCGACAACATGATAACCAATACGAGGAAGATTTAACCCCCGTTATCTGTACAGCAGTATCTGATATTTAAAAATATATAATTAACAAAGGGGCATTTAGTGATAAACGTTTCAGATCTTTGCTCTTTATAGAGCCTTAAGTCACATTAGGCCTAATTTGAGAAGGCTTTCATCCTTTATCGAGACAATAAGCCTTATGTCTCGGTTTAAGCCTACTTTGTTCAGACCTTCTCCATTTTTAGAGTCTTAAGTTTACTGAGGCCTACTTTGTACTTGTGAACTGATGAATGTATACCAGTGACTAATCATTTCGAAAATGAGACTAGGAAATGTATAAGAACACATCAACTTCTACCTGCTGGTATGATTTTAAAAACGCAGGGTTCTCTTTGAACTCCAATACTGTTCTCCCCCCAGCACATAAGAGTTCCATAGTCTTCACTTGTCTGTATTCTGTAGGACGCAATGCTCTGAAACTCGCTGTGGATCTTATGAAGTATCGTGTTTGTCACTTTAGTAGAGCTGTTGAAGCGCCAAAAGAACTTAATATCTCTAGGGTCTGCGTCCAACTGACATTCTACATCGATACTTTCCTGGTTTAAAACTCCATAAACGGACTTTTGGAAAGGTTGACAAACTGGAGAGTCTGAGAAAAGAAACACATCGTTATTCATTATGCTATATGATAATTGAAATATCATTATTATCCAGTATATACTGCGCTACATTACACATCATCATCATCTTTTACTCAAGGTTTTACCTGGGACATCATCATACATTATCCAATATGCTACTTAAGATAGTTTTAGCATCTATTACCCAACGTTCTGTTTGCTATAATTTCATCCGTTATACTATGTGACACCTGAGACATCATCATCCATTATCCTTTATACTGACTGATATATCATCCATTGTAAAATGCACCACCAAAGACACCAACAACATCTATTAATCTACAATGGGCTATCTGATGAACTTTCATCATCTACATCCAATTATGATACCTGAGACATCTTTATCTATTATTTAATGTGCTGCTTGACACATCATTATCACCATACATTAACCAATGTGCTTCACCATTTTATATTACCATTATCCACTGTATAACATGGTATCTAACGTATCATCATCTGACATGTAAAGAAAATTAGAGACATAATTATTCATTGCGACATTATTGGAAACACAATAATTAGGTGCTGAAAAATATCAGATACGTGATTTCTTATTATGCAATCTTCAACTTAAAGAATAATAACTATTAAGATATTCCATTAAAAACTGCCGAAAGCTTAATAGTCCAACCAAAACATATTTTAACATTCAAATAATTGCTATAGGAAATGTTATCCGTAAACGAGTAAATAAAATTATGCTGAACAACATATCAAAAGTCTGGGAGAATCTAAGATGACAAAACCTCTTTTATTTGTGTTCAAATTTTGTAATTTAACTCTAGCGTAACTGGGTTCCATATCTAGAATTACCACCACACTGTAGACCAAGTGGGTAAAGTGTCGATAAACTGGGAAGCAAGTCCCGCTGCCCAAGTTGAGATAAACGTAATTTCAAATAATTTTACTATAAAACCTTCATAAAAAATGTAATTTAAAAAGTAAAACAGATATATTTTCAGGATTCTAATTACGTTAAGCAAATGCATTCTTTCTAAACCGGTCTCTAGATCTAGATGTTTAAAGTTTTGAACTTTAAGTATTCCAGTACAGAAATTACAAATGCTCTTCATATATTGTAAATTATGCGTAAAGGTTTTGCACCCGACATAAAACTATTGAAATACCTGCATACAATAGTAAACCTTTTTATCGTTACTATAGGTATGGCTAAGTTCTGCTTTGAAAAAATATATTAAACGCGATATTAGGTAGAATACAACTTCTACACACTTATTTTTAAACAGCGGGTTTCTAACACATTTACTGTTACATTTCTATCACAGAATGCATGATGTGCACTGAAAAAAGAGCTGTTTATCAAAAGCAACCAAAACAAACAACGATTCATTTTTCTCCACAACATAATGTTTCACGAGCTTTCAGACATTTCATGCAATGGAAGATGCAGACTTGCACCAAACAAAGAATCTAGGACGTGGATCATCAAACAAACTCAAAGTGTACTAAGTCATGACACCAGTGAATCAAACCGAGAACCTAAGACTTGAAACATCAAACAAACCCAAGATCTACTAGTCCATGACACTGGTGGATCTAACCGAGAATCTAGGACGTGAAACATTATACAAACTGAAGATGTACTAGGCCATGGACACTGGTGGAACAAACAGAGAATCTAGGTGTGTAACATAAAACAAACCTAACACGTGGATTAAACAAAGAACCTACGAACATCAAATAAACCGAAAATGTACTAGGCTATCAAACTGGTGGATCAAACCAAGAATCTGGGACGTGGAACATCAAATAAACCGAAAATGGACTAGACTATGACACTGGCGGATCAATCGGAAAATATAGGATGTAGAAAATCAAACAAACCCAAGATGTACTAGTCCATGACACGGGTGGATTAAACTGAGAATCTAAGACATAAATCACCATACAAGTCCAAGATCTATTAGGTAGGCCATGGCATTTGTGGATAAAATCGAGAATTTAAGACGTGAAACATCAAACAAACCAAAGATGTACTAGGTCATAACACTGGTGGATCAAACCGAGAATCTAAGATGTGTAAAATAAAACAAACACAAGATGCACTAAGCCATGACACTGGCGGATCAAACCAAGAATCTAGGACGTAGAACATCAAACAAAATAAAAGATATTTTTGGCAATGACAATGGTGGATCAAACAAAGAATTTAAGACGTGGAACATTTCACGAACAAATCAAGTCTCAAGGATGTGGAACTTCAAACAAACCCAAGATATATTAGGCCATGACACTGGTTGATAATACCGAGAATGTAGGATGTGAAACATTAAAAAACAGATGTACAAGATGATAACACTGGTGGAACAAACCAAAACTGAAGGACGTGGGACATAAAACAAACCAAGATATACTAGACAATAACACTAATGGATCAAACCGAGAATCTAGGATGTGGAACACCAAACAACCCCAAGATGTACTAGGCCATAACACTGGTGGATCAAACCGAGAATCTAAGATGTGAAAGATAAAACAAACACAAGATGTACTAAGCCATGACACTGCCGAATAAAACCGAGAATCTAACAAGTGAATTACCCAAGATGTGCTACCCATGACACTGGTGGATCAAACCGAGAATTTAAGACGTTCAACAAACAAACCCAAAATTTACTAGACCATGACAATAGTGGACAAAAACCAAGAATCTAAAATGTAGAACATTACCCAAACTCAGGATATACTAGGCCATGACACTGCTGGATCAAACTGAGAATCTATGATGTGAAACACGAAAGAAATAAAAAAATATCTGCTAGGCCATACTACTGGAGGTTCAAACCAAGAATCTAAGACGTTGAACATTTCACAATCCCACGATGTACTAGGCCATGACACTGGTGGTTCGAACCAAGAATATCGGACATGGAACATCAAACATACCCAAGATGTGCAAGGCCATGAGATTGGTGGATCAAACATAAAACAAACCCAAGATTTACTAGACCGTGTGACACTGGTAGATAAAACCGAGAATCTAGGACATGGAACAGCAAATAAACTTAAATTGTCCTAGATTATATCACTGATGGATCAAACGGAGAATATAGGACGTAGAACGTAAAACAAACCAAATTTGTACAGGTCCATAGCATGGTGGATCAAATCGAGAAATTAAGACGTGAAACATCAAACAAACCCAATATGTACTAGGCTATTACACTGATGGATCAAACCGTGAGTCTAAGACGTGAAACATAAAAAATAAAATCCAAGATGTACTAGGCCATGACACTGGTGGATCAAACCAAGTCTCTAGGACGTGAAAAATCAAACAAATCCAAGATGTACTAGGCCATGACACTGGTGGATCAAACCGAGAATCTAGGACATGGAACATCAAATAAGCTGAAGATGTACTAGGCCATGACATTGGTGGATTAAACCACGTTTCTAGAACGTGGAAGATCAAACAAACCCAAGATGTGATAGACCATGACACTGCTGGATCAAACCGAGAACTTAGGACGACGAACATAAAACAAATCGAAGATTTCTAGGCCACGACACTGGTGAACAAAGCTGAGAATCTAGGATGTGGAACATCAAACAATCACAAAATGTACTATGTAGGCCATGACACTGTTCAATCAGACCGAGAATCTAGGACGTGGAACATCAAACAAAACCAAGATGTACCAGGCCATGACACTGCTGGATCAAACCGAGAATCTATGACGTGAAACATCAAAGAAACCATGATTTACGAAGCCATGACATGGATGAAATTCGGTATCTAGGACGTGGAGAATAAAAATAAACTAAGATGTAGTAGGACATGACACTGGTGGAACAAACCGAGAATCTAGGACGTAGAACATCAAACAAACCGAAGATTTACACTTATGGATCAAATCGAGAATCTAGTACGTGGAACATCAAACATACCCAAGGTGTACTAGGCCATGACATTTCTAGCAGTATTCTCTTCACTCACGAATTTGGACGATGTGATGCAATTTCCAAACTATTGGTTTAGAAAAAATATGCCCGTTATGATACCAAGCTACCAAATTCTACCAAAGTTCTAGTCCTGATGAAATCACGAAAGCAAGGAAGCGACTGTTTTTCATGTTCTATGGTAGAAAGAAAGACGAAATGTTTAACATCTCGGGTATATCAAATATATGCACAACGATAGTTATGCTACATGGCTCATAGTCTACTGTCAAATGTAACAACATATGTCTCTGAACCAAGATTCAACCATTGATTCTCTTGATTAGGGATGGGAACTGCGACAAAAGATGTTCTTCTCAATATACACTAACAAAGCACCAGTCCACGAGGAGCTTCTTCCTTACATTTACTGCAACTGTAAGATGGACGACTCTTCTCCGAAATGTGCAGAAAGTAAGGTCTGGGCTGTTCGCCAGAACGTGTACATTACAGAGGTGTGAGTTGTGCCAACTCAGTAATTAGTTTGGTGACATTGAGGATGTTGAACAATCCCAAGCCTTACTATTTTTTCAAAGTACCATTGTTTTGATAGGTAGTGTCGTGATATAATTTTCTTAGTACTGTATCTCATATAAATATGTCACAAAAATAGTAGTTTGCTTAAAAAAAAACATTTTTGTTCTATTGGTAAAGCGTTAATTGAAATGTTTTGAGGTAAAATATTCTATATCTGTTTCATAAATATTAAACATTATATGATTGCTGTGACAGCATTCACATTGTTTTTAACGTTCGTTTATAAATAACAGTCTAAAGTGACTTTAGATACTGAGAGATACGTGTTCTCAGCCCCGATCGAGACTTAAAAAATTCTTCTTATATAATGGATAAGTTTTAACCCATCTTACGGATGCGAGATTAATTTTGAAATTTAGTTTATTATTCTAGTGTTTGTTGTACTTGTCGTTGCTGCTAACGCTTGTGTGACTGTTGCTAACGTTGTTGCTTTTGTTAATATTATTTTGAAATTATATGCAGAATTATATCAAATCTCAATGCAGGTGATGTAAATGCTTAGATATCAGGAGAGCTACTTTTTTTTTGAATTTAATATATAAGCGTGTTTAAAAAAGAAGTTTCTGTATAAATTGTTAGTCTTTTTTCAAATTTATTCATTTAACCATATTCATAAGTTTGTATTCAAGATAAACAATAGTTTACATGTTGCTATTTTTTTGTATTAATTCTATACTATATGTTTATATTATGTCATATTTGGAAATGTATATCTTGGAAAAGTAAGTTGGTTGATTGTTTTGGCGTTTATTGGCGCAAAACTAGGGTTAGGTTGTCTGCGCCGGAAAAGTAAGAGTAAAAATAAATATTCCCCGTATTAGATTTTCCTAAACGTTTTATATATACTGTTAATAAATGGTGTGAGCATATTAAATAGTAAAAATTAGCTTTAAAGCACTTAGTTGAAGGTTAAAGCTCTTTTATATATACTGGACTATACTACAAACCAATGTAGATTAAAGAATAACATACAGATAGAACTCAGAATAATCAAAATATATACGGACATGTAGAAAGAATGGGGCAGTAATAACTTACATACTGGCAGGTAGAGAATTCTTACAGTAAGTATTATAAATACTGACATGTAGAAAGACTGGAGCGGTAATTATTGTATATGTTGGTATGTAGATAGACTGGAACAGTAATTATTATCCATATTGGCAGGTAGAGAATTCTTACAGTAAGTATTATAAATACTGACATGTAGAAAGACTGGAGCAGTAATTATTGTATATGTTGGTATGTAGATAGACTGGAACAGTAATTATTATCCATATTGGCAGGTAGAGAATTCTTGCAGTAATTATTATAAATACTGACATGTAGAAAGACTGGAGCAGTAATTATTGTATATGTTGGTATGTAGATAGACTGGAACAATAATTATTATCCATATTGGCAGGTAGAGAATTATTGCAGCAATTATTATGAATACTGGCATATAAAAAGACTGAGACAGCAATTATTACATATACTGATATGTAGACAGACTGGGCCAATAATAATTTGCATACTTGCATGTTGAAATATTCTGACAGTAAATATTATAAATACTGGCAAGTATAAAGACTGGGGCGGTAATTATTACATATACTGGCATGTAGCCAGACTTATTACATATACTGGCATGTAGAAAGACTTATTATAAATACTAGTATGTAGAAAGACTGGCACAGTAATTACTACATATATTGGTATGTAGATAGACTGAGACAGTAATTATTATACATACTGGCAGATAGAGAATTCTTACAGTCATTATTATAAATACTAGTATGTAGAAAGACTGGGACAGTAATCACTACATATATTGGTATGTAGATAGACTGAGACAGTAATTATTATACATACTGGCAGATAGAGAATTCTTACAGTCATTATTATAAATACTAGTATGTAGAAAGACTGGGACAGTAATCACTACATATATTGGTATGTAGATAGACTGAGACAGTAATTATTATACATACTGGCAGATAGAGAATTCTTACAGTAATTACTACATATACTGATGTGTAGATAGACTGAGACTGTAATTATTATACATACTGGGAGATAGAGAATTCTTACAGTCATTATTATAAATACTAGTATGTAGAAAGACTGGGACAGTAATTATTACATATACTGATGTGTAGATAGGTAGTTGACTTACATTTTTAGAAAACATTCTACCGTTGCTAAATTTCCATTTAATCAAAGTTTGAGTTTGCCAGTGTTTCTTTCATTCTGACAACTTCTTCTCTATCAGAACTACGTATGATGGTAAAGCTGTTTTCGTCAACAGTTCCATCACATTCTTCATCCAACTGTCTGTAGATGTTTGAAGGATTACCAGAAGTAAGCTTTGGATGCTCCTTCTTATCTTATTCATATCGATAAACAACGTAGAATCGTTGTTTTTGATACTGATTTTAAGGTTATAAACTCCAAAAATGTTTGGTAGTTTGATTTCAAGATATTTTTGTGTTAGTTGTCATCACTTTATTGTCTTTACCCATAAACGTAATACTGACGTAAAATGACAGTTTCGGCACACCGAAACTTACTTTACGAGGTATGTAAACTTCATTTAAGAAACTTTTTAAAATATTATCAAGTAATGAACGACAAAAGCCGTTAGAACAAAACGTATTGTAACTTTTCCAATTTTTTTATAAAAATCATGATTATTACTGATTATTACTTATTACTCTACTGAGTATAATATTTATTAAACTACCCTTATATTTAAGAGGTATAAAATTGTAGCTTTGACTATACGATCCTGTATACATTATTTTATGATACGTTCCAATTTCCATATGATCTCCAGAGTTATTAATATTCAAATCTAGAAAGACAATTTTGAGTTATTTTCTTCTTCAAAGGTAAATTTAATACAATGATATTGATTATTCAGATATTGTAAGAAAAAATGGACTTGAAATTTAATTTAAAGAAAACGAAGATATCGTAAGCTGATAGGTTTAAAAGTCTTTGGACAGTTACTCAATCATTGATTTTCATGGCAACATAAAAAACAGGTTTGGTAGACTAGGTACTCATTCTGAGCACATAGCAACACAGTTTGTTTGAGTCATCTTCAGGTGAACTTCGCAGTAAATTTCAAAGTTAAAGCAATACAGTTGACTTGCGTTCTATTGCTGATGAGTATGAGTTTGAGTTTGAGTTTTTAATCGCCAGTGCTACTTTTATTCTGACATCTAGTTCGTATGTAGTTTAAACAACGAGAAATATGTCAGATTTTTCTGTGTATGATTGTATTCTATCTCAGAATTATGGTATCAAAACTAAATTTTTAAATAGGATATAATAAAATAAAAAAGAAAGAATTTAATCAGATACTGATGAGAAGATAAACTCCAAGGGTAATAACTATAGGCATTACGTGTTGATAGATTCTTAGAGTAAGCATTAGAGACACAAACGTTTAGATAAACTCTAAAAGAAATCACAAGAGACACTAGTTTGTTGATTTATTATGTGTGTAGTCACTAGAAACAACAGTGTGTTATATATTCTGCGTGTAGTCACTAGAAACAAAAGTGTGTTATATATTCTGCGTGTAGTCACTAGAAACAACAGTGTTATATATTCTGCGTATAGTCACTAGAAACAACAGTGTGTTATATATTCTGCGTGTAGTCACTAGAAACAACAGTGTGTTATATATTCTGCGTGTAGTCACTAAAAACAACAGTGTGTTATATATTCTGCGTATAGCCACTAGAAACAATAGTGTGATGTATATTACGCGTGTAGTCACTAGAAACAATAGTGTGTTATATATTCTGCGTGTATTCACTAGAAACAACAGTGTGATATATATAACGCGTGTAGTCACTAGAAACAATAGTGTGTTATATATTCTGCGTGTAGTCACTAGAAACAGCAGTGTGTTATATATTCTGAGTGTATCAACTAGAGACACTAAAGTGTTTATATATTCTGAGTGTATCCACTACAGACACTAAAGTGTTTATATAATTTGAGCATAATCACACGAAACACTAGCGTGTTGATAAAGGCTAAGAGTAATCACCGGAGACATTGGCGTGTTAATAGGTTCTGAGTGCAATTACTAGAGACAACGGACTGTAAACAGAATCTCAGAGTATTCATTAGAGGCACTGGAGTGATGATAAATTTTGACTGTACTTACCAGAGACACTGGGTGTGTAGATCGATAGACTTAAGCGTAAACACTAGAGACACTGACGTTTGAATAGATTCTAAGAGTAATTACTAGAGACACTAGTGTGTCTGTAGATTGTAAAAGTACTCACTAATTTTATAGTCAGTCTTTCACTTTAACTTAGTTCTGAAGACTTCCATCTGTAAGAGTAATTACTAAAGACACTAGTGTGTTTGTAGATTTTAAAATTACTCACTAATTTCATAGTCAGTCTTTCACTTTAACTTAGTTCTGAAGACTTTCATCTGTAAGTTGTTATAAGCTAGTTTATTCCAGGAGCTTATGAGTAGGCACAGTTTTGTGGCCCATGTGAAATCAGTTATCGAGCAGTAAAAAAGAAACTTTTCTATTGCTCAATATTTCTCTTTTTACAATTAATATTTTAAAATCAACAAATAATATAATACCAGAATAATGTGATGAATTAAAAGACCACAAAACATGTGAAAAAAGCGAAGTGTTCTTCAATAACGTTCTACAAGTAAAAGTCAATAATACTTAATTGTATTGTGAAAAAAAGCATTCTATATTTTGGTATTCTTTTAGATGTGTTATTTTAATAAATATATTTGAAATTATGAACATTTTTGTTTATTTTCTGTCTATGTGTTTACAAAAAAATAATAATTTATAAGAGAAAACAACGTACACTTAACCTTCAAAAACATGTCATCGCTGATACCCAAGCCTTCAACGTTTGCAGCTGAGCAGGAGAATCGGCCTCGCATTCTTCTACTGACATTCCTTAGAACCAACGTCTGACTACTGATCATGATTCCTAGCGAGGGGTCGTTGACTAATTGACGACCGTTGAAATGCCAGTTTATTTCATGCACCCAAGGATGAGCCTGAATGTCACATTCGAATGTTACGTCATCTCCTTCCTTTACCATTCCGTCTTCGGCACCGGAAACCACTCGTAAAGAGACGTTTGGCGTGTCTAATTATACCAAAACAGATTTTGAATATGCGAAAAGGAAGATAGAATTTCACAATAACCATTTTTCTTTAATTCACCTCTTTAACTAACAACAACGATTATGTGACAGACCTCTAACTTTCTCACTTGCTTTTGACATCTAATTCTTAAAGTTTAGTGATAAATTATAACTTTTCAAATGACAGATTAACTTTTGTAGAATTACCATCATTCACTAAGTTAATTTTTTCGGCTTATGCATAAAGAGGCCATTTTCCTAATTGCTTGCGCTTTTCTGCTTATTTTCTTTTTACTTTTCTACTTTGTTTTGGGTTGAGAAAGAAGTTGGAAAGACACATTCATATTTCATTTTGCAGACTCCTCAAAGTTATGAAACATTAGTCCACACACACACATAAACACTCTAGAAGAGAGTTTATGTGCTATTTTAAAGCATGTGGCTTTTTTTTTCCTTAAACAAGTATTTTTTCTCAGGATTAAAATAACAAAGTAGCCAGTATGGCAATTGAATAGGAAGAAAATATGCTAGAAGTTATAATTTATAAGTTAACGCTTACAAAGCTACATAGAATGTATTCAGTCCTTACCTGTGTGTCTGGAATGTTTAAAAAAATATTGTTCGATGTTTCTTATTTTAAAATTAATGATTAAAAACCAACTAAGAATAGAAAACCAGAAAAATATGGCAAACTAAAAAAACCACAAACTAAACATGTCACTCAGGCATATAACACCTGTTTGTGGCTCTGCAACTGAAACCTTACAGAAGGACTGTTACCCTTCTTACTTAATCATGTCCCTTCACACAGACTTAGCATTTACCATTTCCGTCAACAATTAAACGAAGACTCGCGAAGCTTGGATGCTACTTCTGTGAATGTATAACATTTATATCCCTTAATCCCTAACGAAGAAGGTATAAGTTATCTCATGAAGATGCTGAACGAGAACTCAATTAACCTTGTGCTTCTGAAAATTGCAACTGACTTGTTAAAGAAAAGACCTATACTCTATCTTCAGTAACGGTTACATAAGATTCAATGGAATACTTTTTTCAAATCCAAGGAGTTTCAACGGGAATAGAGTAAGTGTAGATTTTGCTATAATATTCATGCATTTCAAAGAAAACGAAGAACTTACAGATTGGAGAACTAAAACGAATAGAATAAGCCTCACAATTTGGTATCCTTTTATAGAACATGGAATTCACATTTAAAATTCACTAATAATCTTCCAAGAAGTTCTTAATACTGTTCACTTCTTCATATCATTTATTTTAAATATTCAACATCTGATAAACCGTTACCTTTTTAGAAACTACGTTTCAGTTTATAGAGGGTTGTATAACTGCAAAAGTATTTAGAAAATCAACTAATATTCTTTGTCTAAACCACAATTCACACTATACTCCAGTAGTAAAACGAAGTATCTTCTGCGGTTTCCTAAAACCTATAGAAAAAGTATGTAGTAATAAATTTGAATCACTGTAGAAAGAAGAAAATTAATGTATTTTACGAAGACGAATATCCAATCAAATATATTCAAAACCTAATACGAGAATTTGATTTTAAATACAAAGAAAAACAATAGTTCATATCATTACAAAGTGAAAATTAAAGAATAAATCCCATGGGTTGTGCCGTACAAAAGTAATAAATCCACTACTTTACTTTGGAATAAATAAAGAGGATCACACACTAAAACTATTGTGTTTCTTTTGCTTAGATTCTGAATGTCTCTTACATGTTCGAGAATTATTTCGTGTGTGGGCTATCAGTTTCTCTTATGTTTGTTTCAGAACATTCCTTATATTTACTAGATACATTATGTTTTTAATTTAATAATTCTTTTCTATACCATATTCAGGTGTTCTCTATTTGTTTGACATTCACTTGCTTTTGGTATGTTGTTTTTATTACAATAACTTTTAAAGGTTTAATAGCTATATTAACTGGAAAATACGATATGAAAAAAGCATGGAGTACCAGAAATGGAAAATCTATTAGTTAAAGTAAAAAATGTTGGGAAAGGGGTATAATTACTTAAACCGAAAATCAAAAATCAAATTCATTACAAAGGAAAACATTCTAGGTTAATTTAAACAAAGGTTGGACTTTATAAAAACACATAAAAAAGTTTCCCGTGTGTTTACATGACGTGATTTAATAGTATTGTGTTCTAAGTTTAACAGTGTATTATATAATAATATAACAGTACAACATTAACTACTAAAAGACAGTATATTGTGAATAGAATCCCTGCTACTCTTAACAACTCTATTGCGTTAAAGCGTAACAAGACTTTTTTGTACCTCAGAATCTGTAATGATAAGCTCCTAATGGAGCCGTACGAGAAATAACGACCAACAAAAAAGGAAGGGTTTTTATTTTGCTGGAGTTGCTGACGTAAGATAATAAAAGAGAATGTATTGGACGTTTAACAATTAGGTACTTAAACTGTTAGTTGCATTACATTTGTACTGTCATAATATTTTCATTGAACGATCAAACGTTAACAGTAAACACTTTCAATACGCTTATGCCATTTATCGCTAAATAAAGTTTAATAATTAATCACATTTAAAAGTTCATATACCATTTCGAAGATTTTTTAGTAGTCAACAAGATTTTGGTAGGATTCAGCATTGTACTTGAAGATGTGTTAATATACAACAATGACGAGTTAAGTAGATGAAGAAGGAATTGATATAAATTACAATATCAAAAAGGATCGGGGAACAAAGAAACAAATCTTAGAAACTACATTTTTGTCTTTTCAACACGTCCCTCAGGAGCCAATGAGTGTCTTTATACTACAGTTTGTTGAATATTATGCTTCTGCTATCACATTTTTATGTTTAGCTTTCAATTGAGATACGAACGATTTCACTGCAATTCGGTAGGGAAGGTCGAAGCATCACGATAGTCAGCAGTAGGACGAGTAGATAGGAACGCTTTGAAAGCAGCTGCAGGCATAATATTGTACTCGGCTTGCTGCACAATATCTACCAAGGTAGTGTTTCTAATCGGTTCCTGAATACCTGTGCGTGTAATTTGGAGACTTCCATGCTTCATGTGTTTGGTCGCTAAGCTCGTGATGCGCTGACGAATTTCAGTCACCTTACCACTTACCACCCCAACGCTAAAAGATGTGGGAAATGCCTTATTTTTAACCAATAAAAATGTCCAAAAAATTTCAGTTAAAATTGATAAAAACCGGATTGGGTAGTTTTTTTTCTTTCAAGAAAAATGTCCCCCACTGGCTCGTGAGGGGCCTGTTAAATGACTTTTAGAAGGATGACAGACTTACTCACACTGGATTTCCACATTCCAGCCTTTCTCAATAGCACTTCCAGGAATTCTGGGATTTTCAGCTCTGCATCCCAAGTATTTTCCGTTGTCTTCCACCGATGGCATATACGTTAACGTACTAATTGCGGTTTCACCTTCTGTCTTGACACTTTCAACAGAAGGCATTATCTGCTGCGATTCTTTCCACCATGTGATAGTTGCAGGAGGCCGAGATCCATGAGAAACGCATGTTAATTCAATTTTTTTATTTGCTGACATGGGACGTCGAGCTGGCGTAATATCAACTTCGAGTGGTTTTACTGAATTATACAAAATTCATTACAAAAATATGCCTTTGTACTTAACTACTTGTTGAATTATAGCTAATAAATTAAAATTTGGAACAACTAAAAAAATATGATATTAAACGACAGTTTTAAAATAAAAAAGAACAAAGAATACGATTTACTTATCCACCATAACTGTTAACATTGGTGAATCTGTATCTTTTAAAATATTCCATTCCAAGTCTCGGAACTTAAAATTACAAATTCAACACTTAATATAGCAAACAAATCTTCACTGTCAAATGACTACTTTCAATTTTTAGATAACAACTTTTCAGTTTTTGTCATTTATTGTTAAGTTACAATTGTTTATTACGTTACTACAATTTGTTGCTAAGATACAACTGTTCATTACTTTAATCCCATTTATTCTTAAGTTGCAACCATTCATTGTTAAGGGACAACCGTTATAAAAGTAAAGGTTGGATTTTAAGAAAATACTAAAACAGAGTACTTCTTAAATTGTAATAAATAATTAAAAACAACGTTTTGTGTTTACACAATAAAAACATATGTTTATAGAACTTTAAAAATATGTTCAATACAGGAATATTTAAATAACGAATTTTTATTAATTAAGTATATAGCTATTGATAAACGATTTGAATAAATAAGATAAAAGATATGATAGGGAATGCTATAGACAAAATAGAATTAACAGATAAAACGTGTATATACAAGATAGATTGTGAATGTGGTGGTGTTTATATTGGTCAGACTAAAATAAATTTAAAATATAGATTGCAAGAACACAAAAGTTAGATAATAAATAATAAAATAGAAATTTTCAGCTACAGCCGAACATGTAAAAACTACCCAACATACAATATTATTGGAAAAACTTTAGTTCTAGCTCAGCCTCGAAGTTTTATATCATTAAATAATAGAGAAACATTAGAAATAATGAAATATAAAAAAACAAAAACAAGTATTAAATAGAGACGAAGAACCAGCAAGTCAATACGTTGATATATGGTGAGATGTATTATAATTAATTTTAGTATTATTATTATTACACCAAGGAAATATGCAAACAACAATGAAGTAATGGGAAAGTATAAAATAGTCTTGAAAGTTACTTCTGAGGATGACGTAGATTACATGTACGTGTAGAGTGATTTTTCTATTTTAAAGTGGAAGCCGTACGGCTTCAATAAAGTTTTTATTGTGTAAATATAAAACGTTGTTTTTAATTATTTATTATAATTTAAAAAATTTTAAACACAAGTGCCGATAGGGCATATACAGTATTTCTTGTAACATTTTCTGCTGAAACATGTATTGCATTCCCCAAAAATAGAAACAGTTCCTTATGTTTATAAATAGTTGTTTGTCAACATACTATCATACATTAATTACAATAATTCATCATTCTTTGTTAATTTACTAACATTCATAGTTTTTAGTTAGTACAATTCAGTTCTAAGTTACTTTCATTCATTGATATGTTACTATTGTTCATTGGTAAGTTACTGCTATTCACTGTTAAGCTATTATCATTCACTGCTAAGTTACTATCACTCGTTACTAAGTTAGTGGCATGCATTGATAAATCGGAATATTTCATTGTTAATTTCTATCATTCGTTAATAAGTTGCTAAAATTTATTTTTAAGTTTAAGCTGCTAACATTAATTTCTAAGTGACTATTCACTGTTAAACTACTACTACTCATTATTAAGTTACTATCGTTCATTGTTTAATGGTATCTTTCATCAATTAGTTACTACCGTTGGTTAGGTTATTGGTGTTTATTGAGATGTTACTACCAGATAATTATCAAACAAATGATGCTAGGTTTAAATCAAAGTGAACGCTGAGCTTATGGCACACTAAACACTATATGTTACAAATGATGCAGTGAAAATAGTCGCAAACCGCCAAAAAGAAAATATTTTATGTGATATAAGTTGAACATAAAGTTTAGTTGATAACCAACAAGAATCAATTATGAGCAAAATAGTATAAAAGGAGTTAAATCAATACACCAACAACCAAATATTTCGGTTTTGTGTTCACATTCTTTAGCAAAATCTCAAAATACATCCACAATTAGGTACAGAAAGTTTTATTCGGGAAACTTGCAAAATGCTCTAGCCTGCGCATGTACTGGATGATAAATATATATTTTATACTTGTATATGTTACATGTTGTTGATGGAATTCGGCTCAGGCCTGGTACTTGCTTTTCTCTCCTGTGGCTCAAAATGTAGAACAAGCGTTTCATCAATCTACCTTGGATCAATTTACTCCATGCAATAAAACTGATTTATGTTTCGTTATAGGCTGCTCCAAACGTATATGACGTAAATGAAATTCACATGGCAAATAACACATCATATTTTACTGCCAAATGGTTTGCTCGAAATCGATTATTTTTGGTAGAGATTTTTAACAACATATAGAAACTAGCATTTGTATTTGTCTTAACAGTAATCCCACAAGGTAGCACTAGTCCAAATATGTTATATATATTTCTGTTTGTGAAAGATAGTACAAACTAAATTACTTAATATACCAACAGAAAATCTAGTTGAAATAAACAACTGAGACTTAATTCATTACGAGTTACTCGTTACTCAAAAAAGTGACTACAGTATCTAAGAAGCAACTGTTTTCCGTATTTTGTTTAAGTAGACGAATATCAAATAAAGGTAAAACTTTCGCTTCTGACAGATTACAGTAAAATAAGTGTGTAAAGGTGTGCAGTTTGGGCACCAATTATAATTAGGGAAACGTATTTAAAACATGTGTATTATACAAATTGGCAAACTCTCTATACAATATCTGAAATACATCAATACAACAATATGAAATTCTCTGAGAAGGCCAGCACAACTGTGCATATTGTCATACATTTACGTTATATTTTTATAGATGGGCTAGGTGTAGGCTAGTGGTCAGCATATTAAGCTGCGGATTGAATAGCTCAAGAGAGATGACTTGATGTTAATGATCACACTCCGCATTTTGAGATGTAGATGTATTGTAAAAGTGACAGTTAATCCCATTATTAGGTTCGAATGGCCGAGTGAATTTCTTGTGATGGCAAGTGCTCCTGGCTCACTAGCTGTCAGAAGTTCAAAATTAGAGACGACCAAACCTGAATCCTAGGGATATCTAATCTGGTCATTTAGCCCAAGTATATAGAAGGTGACATTCAGGTTACAAAATCAATTTCCTTATAAATAACTAAAGACCATACCTTGATTCTAAATGGTAAACTTACAGTTGAGTTTCAAAGTAATAGTTGTAGAAGCAGGAATAGTAATGTTGTTATTGGACGCCTGACAGGTCAAGACTGTTCTCAAGTCGTCTCTCTCGATTTCTGGAATAACAATCTTGTTCACCACGACTTCGTCCGATATGAAAGTATAGTTGTCATCTAAAAGGGTGTAATCCTGCCACCAGGTTAAAGATGGGCGAGGTTTCCCTGCAAAACAATTGAATCTAAACACTGATACCTTCAATAAATATTTTGTTTCTGTGATGATGACCGAATTAAAATGACTCTTCATTATAATCGATGTATTACAACCTCAAGTCGTTACCACCTTAATAACAACTAAGCATATTTTTCTCACATGCACGTGTAATATTTTCGAAGCTAATCTTGAGTTTATTTAATTGACTATATTCGTTACTGGGTTCCTCTATGGTTGTGATCTAAGTAGGCAGCTTGTTCTGATCGGAAGTGAACATTAAGATGATTTAAACTTTTCTTCGGTTATACGTAAAAACTATTTTCCTGAGATAAAAGTATAAAAATATCATGCTTTATTTTTTGAAAGCTACTTACCATAGCCAATTAATCAACAGTAAAGATATGATATGGAAACTTGAAGTTCGATAATATAAAACCGTCACAGTGCACACGCACTGACCGGAGTTTAATAATATCTGTTATCTCTATAAAGTATTAACAAAAAGGATATTAAAGAAGTTTTCAGGCTGTTCCTAATCAGACACGTGATTAGAAAGTAGCAATAACCAGCAAAATACAAGCTATATGTATAAAAACCGCAATAATGTAATCAACAGAGTCCACAGAAAACAAAGTGAATCGTTCATTTACGTCGACCAAAAATACATAACAGTTAAAAATCAATATCAAGTTCGTTGTTAGAATATGAATGTTCAGATTCTCTGAAACAACTAGGACGTGTTATTTAGACTTCCAGTAATAAACAGGTTATTTTATTATGCAATCAAAGTATCCTCCTTTTATAGGAAGAAATCGAACCCTCCACATTCTGTATTTAACTGTTTGATAACAGCTATAGGGAAAGGAATGTTTTTCGGAGTCAAATGAATATCCTGAATCTTTTTCTCGTGATTAAAAGTGTGGAACAACTTTATTTAAAGGGAATAGAACGCGAGGGAGCAACACAGGATATCGTGAATATCCTCTTCATGTTTAAGAAAGAGGAACAGTTTTAGTCAAAGGAACGGAGTGAGCAAACACTCTACAGTTGAAAGGATCTTAGAACATTCCTGTTCCTTTCACTTTACTATTGTGGTTATTTGAATCTTATACACAGAGTTATACACAATAGCTTCACTGGCCACAAACAGAACTGAAGCAAGCTTCCACAAGTAAAGTGAAGTTTTTAACACAGGGTTTAATTTGGCCATATCATTAGTTTCACTAATTACAAACAGAACTGAAGTAAGCTAAAACAAGCTTCCAAATTAAAGCGAATCAGTTTTCAACACAGAGTAACATACCTTGAATAATATAATCCATTAAACATAACGTCTGTAACGTCTGAACCAAGTTAGCCGTTAAAGGAATACAGTTAAAAACAAGTAGTTGACAACAGACTTTTTAATTGAGTTTCTCTGTTTTAATAAACACCGAACACAAAAATAACACTGAGTTTATTTCGAACACTTTGAAAACAAAAATAATTCCATGACTGAGTTATTAAAGGTATAATGTAACAGAATATACAATTTTATGATGCTGTTGTAGAAACCACACGAAGTAACGTAAAGTTTCTAGTATATGGAAATTACGAAATATAAAATGAATTTTGTTGAATAATAAATACCCTCTAATGATGTTTGAGCTTGTAAAATTAAATGACGGTAATCAACACAATCGTCTTTTTGAGTAATTATTAAAATTATTATCACATCACTATAAGAAGGAAGTATCTAACAGTTTAAATAATACATTGCACAGAATTGTTTTTCTGGCTTTTGTTATAAAAAAAAAGAAAAATACAGTTCATTATAACAAGAGATCATGCAATTTTATGCGGTAACAAGCCATTCTGTACTCAGAAATACCATAAATACTGATGTGTAGAACCTGTAGGTTGGTTGAATTTCCTAGGAAAACATTGCTTACTTCGATAACCAGAAATTAAATAAACTTTTCTAAAATACTGGTACACAACTTGCTTTGTGCAATATCATCCAATTACAATGTACCCACCTCCAACGACGCTACACGTTAACGATAAAGGTTGTCCTTCATTGAACGGTCCAACTAAACCCTTAAGCTGTTGCCTGTTTTCATCCACTATAATTGGCTCTCTGGGAGGAACTGTAAAAATGAAAGATTCCACTCCTTCTGATAAAATCAGTTTTATCTTGAATTACATTATAGTGATCAAGTTATTATTCATAAAGCTGTAGTAAGTTAGCGCTAAGACTAGGGCGATAATAACAAAACAGAAGGATGTAACAGATGAAAAAATACATTTTATATTCGTGTTTGATTTTACTCACTCACCTCAGAGACAGCGTCGCGTTAAGTTTGATTCAAGTATTGAATGAGGTTTGTTTGTTGAATTTCGCGCAAGACTACTCGTGGGGTTTCTGCGTTAACCACTCATAATTTAGAAGTGATAGACTATAGGGAAAGCAGCTAGTAAAAATCACCAACCGCCTACTCTTGGGCCAGTCTAATCAAATAGTGGGATCGACAGTAGATTTTAACGCCACAATGGGTGATAAGGCGAGCATGTTCACTGATGGAATTCGAACTCGCAAACCGCGAGCGCCAACTACCAGGATTTTGCTTGTACAAACAAGTATATATCATACAACTTAACTTCTGCTTTAATTTCAAATATAATGCTTTCATATTCATAACAAATATTTTTATTTCAATTTGTGAGCGTGTTGAATAAAACTTCTTGAAGCACGTAGAAGTTTCAAAATTAGTTCCAAAAATCTAAAATACTAATATAAAGTTGTGAAACGCTAAAAAAAGGAAATTCCCTTGGACTCTCATTAAACATAGATAATGTATTCTTCGTAGATGTCAACATGAACACAAAATATGTAAACATTTTCGGAAATGTGTTGGTCACATGGAAATACTTGTTTAAAACGCACGTATCTGTGTACTTTTAAGTAAAGAAAAAATATCTGAGAAACATTAGGTAACTTTGTAGCAGAAAGGTGAACATTAATTATTACGAGTGTGAATTAAAAGAATTATTATGAGTATGATTTACAGAAGACTATAATTAACAATAGTAATTATGAGTAGAATTTAAAAGAATAGATTTGTTTGTTTTTGAATTTCGCGCAAAGCTACACTAGAGCTATCTGTGCTAGCCGTTCCTAATTTAGCAGTGAAAGACTAGAGCGAAGGCAGCTAGTCATCATCACCCACCGCCAACTCTTGGGTTACTTTTTTACCAACGAATAGTGGGATTGACAGTCACATTATAACGCCTCAACGGATGAAAGGGTGAGCATATTTTGTTGGATGGAAATTCGAACCCGCGACCCTCAGATTGAGGGTCGAGCTCCTTAACCACCTGGCCATGACGGGCAAAAAAAAAATGGAAACGAAAAGGATTTACACGATCGATTCACAAGAGTGGTTACAAATAGTAATTATAAGAAATATTACGAGTAGGATTCGCAGGAGTGATTACGAGATTTCATAATAGTGATTACCAACATGATTTACAAGAGTGATTACGAGTAGGATTCTCAAGATTGTTTGCCAATTGGACACAACACTAGTTACCAGTAGGATTTTCAAGAGCAATTACGAGGAGGGTTTATATGATTGATTACGAATAGGATTTACAGAAGTGACCTCAATTAGGATTTACAGGAGTGATTAGGTGTAAGATTCACAAGAGTGGTTACGAGTATGGCTAAGAAGATTGGTCCCAGCAAGATTTACAGGAGTGGCTACGAATACAATTTACAAGAGTGATTATAAGAAAGATACACAAGAGTGATTACCAGTAGAATGCTCAAAGACAATTAAAAGGAAGATTTACAAGAGAGATTATAACAAAGATTCCAAAGGAGATTATGAATAGTATTCACAAGAGTCATTAAGAGTAGGATTTACGGGAGTGATTAAGAGTAGAATCTACAAGAGTTGTTAAGTTTCACAAGCCTGGTTATGAATAGGATCCACAAGAGCGGTTAGGAAGAATTTTTACATGAATGAGTACGAGTAGCATTCAAAAGAGTAGTTACCAGTAAGATATAAAAGAATGGTTACAAGCAGAATTCACAAAAGTCGTTACGAACAGGATTCAACAGAATAGTTAAAAGTAGGTTTTACAAGATAGGTTACCATTAGGATTTGTAAGAGTGGCTACAAAGAGGATTTACAGGAAATACAACGAGTGGGATTTAAAGAATTGATATTGATTAAAAGTAGGACTCACAAGAGTTGTACCGAATATTATTTGCAGTAAGAGTAGGACTCACGATAGTGGTTACCAATAGTATTTCCAGGAATTGTTAAAAGTAGGACTTAGAATAATGTCTGCGTAAAGGATATATAGACGTGGCCAGGAATAGGACTTATAGTAGTTATTGCGACTAAGATTCACAAGAGAAGCTTCGAGTAAAATTCAACTGAACGGTTATGAGTAGGATTCGAAAGATTAGCTACCAGTAAGATTTGCATGAATATGATTTACAGAACTGACAACCAGTTGGATTTACGTGAGTAATTACTATTAAAATTTACAGGAGTAATTACAAATAGGATTAAAAATTATGGTCATCAATAAGATTCACAAGAGTGATTACCAGTACGATTTACAAAAGTGGTTACTAGGATGATTTACGGGGGTGATTACGAGTAGCATTAAGAACAATCTTAATGAGTAAAATATAGAAAAGTTGTTTATGAGACGGATTTGTTAGAGTGATTAGAAGTAGAAGTCCCAAGAATGGCTATGTGTAGGATTCACAAATTGTACGATTTAGAAGAGCTGTTACGAGAGGATATACAAGAATAATTACGACTATAATTTACAAGAGTTGTTACGAATAAGAAGAGTGGTTATCAGTAGAATTACAAGAGAGGTTACTAATTGGACATACCTGAGTAATTACGAGAGAGTAGTAGTTACAAGGAGGAAGAGTATTTACATGAGTGGTTACGAAGACATGTTACAGAAGCAACAACGAAAAGTATTTTTATGTGGTGATTAAAAGTAGGACTCAGAATGAAGGTTAAGAGCAGGATTTACCGAAGTGGGAATGAGTAGAATTTGCTGAAATGATTGCGAGTAGGATTAACAAGATAAGTTACCAGTAGAATTCACCAGAACAATTACATTTAGGAACTACAACAGTTGTTACAAGGAGGATTTACAAGAATGAATACGAGTATGATTTATAGTTACTGAATACGGATATAATTTATAACTATGATTACGTATTAGATTCACAAGGGGTTACAAATAAGTATTACAGGACTTACTACGAATATGATTTACAAAAGTTACTGCCAGTCGGATTTATAGAAGTAATTTCGAGCAGGATTTACAAGAGTGACTACAAATATGACTTAGAAAAGATAAAATGTGTAGGATTTACAAAAGTAATTACAAGGAGGATTCACAAAAGTAGTTACGTGAAGGATTCGCAATAGTAATTAGAGAAACTAGTTACATGGGTGACTAAGAGTGGGATTTATTGGAATGATTACGAGTATTTCCTCAAGAATGGCTACAAGTAGAATTCGCAAGATTGATTACCTATTTGTTATGAAGATGATTTACAGCATTTTTAACAGTAGGATTCACGTGATTGGTTCCGGGAATAGCATACAGGAGCAATTACGATTAAGCTTCACAAGAGCGTTAACCAGAAGGTTGTGCTTGAGTGATAAAGAGCAGGATTTTTACGTGAATAATTACGAGTAGCATTCAAAAGACTAGTTACCAGTAAGATATAAAAGAATGGTTACAAGCATGTAGTGATAACGAGTAGGATTCACAAGAGTGGTTATTGGTAAGATTGAAAAGAGTAATTACAAGTGGGACTTACAAGATTGATTACAAAGATGACTTACAAATGTAATTAAAAATTGGATTTATAAGAACGTTTGCAAGTGGGATTCAAAAGAGTGTTTACGAGTAAGATTCACAATAGTTGTTAAGCATTAAATTTAACAAGAGATGTTGCTAAGAGGATATACTAAAACGATGAGAATAAGAATTTATAACAGTGGTTTTAAAGAGGAGCTAAAGGAGTGACTACCAGAAGTATACACAAGAGTGGTTACGAATACGATTCACAAGAGTGATTACAAGTAGGATTCAGAAGAGTGGTACGAGAAGGATTTACAAGAGTAGTTATCAAGAGGTTTTTAAAAAGTAAATGCAAGTGGGTTTACAGGAAACTCTACGAATGATACTTACAGGAGTGATTACAAGTAGTATTTAAAAGAATCGTTATGACTTGATTAGCAGAATCGACAACGAGTAGGATTTATGGAAGTGACTACGAGAGGTATGTACAAGAGTGTTTATGAGTAGGTCTTACAACAATGGTCACTAGTAGCATTCATAAGATGTTTACCTGTAGGATTGACGAGGTTGATTACGAGGAAGATTTACACTATTGATTACGAATATCAATCATAAGAATGGTTACAAGTAGGATTTACAGCATTGGTAATCAGTAAGAGTTATCAGATTATTTATGACTATAATTAAAATAAATCACTACAAGTGGGATTCATAATAGTGGTTGCAATGAGGATTTACAGAAGTGATTACGTGTGTACTTCACAAGATTTGTTGCGAGTGAGATTCACAAGAGCGTTTACCAGTCGGATGTACAAATTACTTAGGGGAAAATATGCAAGAATAATTACGATTATGATTCACTAGAGTGGTTACCTTGATGATTTAGAGGAGTCTTTACGAGGAATATTCACAAGAATGGGATTACGTAAAATACTTAATGATCAATGATAAACAAGATTAATAAGAGTTGTTTCAAGCAGGAGTTAAGGGAATAATTCCAAGAAGTGTTCAGAAGAATGGTAATGAAAAGGATCTGTGACACATAAGATTTAGAGTAGTGATTAGACCAGGATTCACAAGAGTATTTTTGAGTAGAGTTAAAATGAGTGATACGACTAGGATTCATAAAAGTAGTAAACAGTAGGACTTACAAGAATGGTCATGAAGGAAAATTGCATGACTGATAACTAGTAGTATTTCTATTATTGGTTAACAAGAAAATTTACAGGAGTGATTGCGAGTAAAATTCACAAGGTTGATTACAGGTAGTACTAAAAAGAGTGATTACCAGCAT